TAAGGAGATAAACAAAAAGTTGATATTATAATGTGGAGGAGGTACCAAGTAAACTAGATTGTTGTACATAAGACATCGCATCAACCATTTCAACACCAATCATAAAACGAACATAAAGTCAAAGTCATCCTTTTCCCCCTAATACTTGGAAGCACCGTGACAATGTAAATCGATAGCAATTTTCTATGCAAAATATCTAAAGCAGAACAGCTTAGAACAAAAACATTTATCAGGCTTCTCAAACAGATTGATACAGATGATTTTTCAACGTTTAAGGTATAAAGGAAAATCCTCCCCGTGCTCAAGCTTTTCCAATATTCATGTCTCAGATTTCAAACTTAATTGACAATGGCCACGAAAGTTGACCCTTGATCGATCTTATCTTGAAATGCATTGACAGCCAAGGCATAACAAGGTCATAATCATTCATCATTAGTGGAAGATGCTTCACACACCTAGTGATTCTTAAAGGAACAAACTATCTATGCTTGAACTTTCTTGGCTCAACCTTCAAATATTAATGTATCAGCTTATAAAGTTTAAACCTAGACGATAATGGAAAAAGGATGGACCCTTGATCAACCTCATCTTCAAAGGCATTGATAGCTAAGGCATGACGAGGTCAGAATCCATCATCATTAATGGAAGAATATTGACCGAACTAGCACTCGCTTTCTCCTACTTTCCTAGAATTTATTTTAATTAACCGTTTATTCAAGGTAAGTTAGCAAAAATTAACATTCTGATTGGTTATATCATATATGTCAGTGCTTGCGAACCCTTTGTGTCCCATTAAGAAAATTGATTCCCATCATAGAATAAACTTTCCATGTACGGAGGTTCTTTCAGGATATTAGAAGTATTATTTGTTAGAAGTGAGAAAAATCAGAGCATACTATTTCATTCATCTCCATGGGTATATATAGGGTTACATATGGGTAATAGGCTAATGGGTTAATGGGCCCTAACCCGATAACCCAAGAACTAATTCTAACACTCCCCCTCAAGCTGGAGCATATATATCAATCATGCCCAGCTTGTTACATAGAATGGAAAACACATTAGGTGAAGTAGCTTTAGTGAGAATGTCAGCTAACTGTTCCGAAGATGGAGTGAACTGAAGAGATATCATTTTCTTTTCCCAAGCATCTCGGACAAAATTACAATCAACTTCAATGTGCTTAGTTCTCTCATGAAACACTGGATTCTTTGCAATGTGGATAGCAGATTGATTATCACAATGCATAGGCATAGATCCAGGCTGCGAATAGCCAAGCTCGGTCAGCAGCTTCTGTAGCCATATCATCTCACAAACAGTATGAGCCATAGCCCTGTATTCTGCTTCTGCACTAGATCGAGATACTACATCTTGTTTCTTGCTCCTCCAAGTAACCAGATTTCCTCCAATGAAGGTGCAAAATCCAGAAGTAGACTTTCTATCTCCTATATCTCCTGCATACCCAGCATCAGAATAGGCAGAGATGTGTAAATGTCCATGTTTCTTATACAGTAATCCTTTTCCCGGACAGCTTTTAACATAAGCCAAAATTCTTAGAGCAGCAGTCCAGTGAACCTCTCTAGGTATATGCATAAACCTGCTCAATACTCCCACTGCAAAGGTAATATCAGGTCTGGTCACAGTAAGATAGATCAACTTGCCAATCAATCTCCTATATCGGCCTGCATCATCTAGGAGAGGACTATTATCACGCCACAAGTCCACATTCACTTCCATGGGAGTGTTTGCTGGCTTACACCCCAAAAGGCCCATTTCTTCTAAGAGGTCCAATACATATTTCCTTTGAGATAGAAGTAAACGGTCCTTTTGATATGCAATCTCAATCCCAAGAAAGTATTTGGGTTTTCCCATATCTTTGGTCACAAAGTGACGTGAAAGGTACTCCTTAGTCTCTCCTATGGCAACAAGGTCACTCCCAGTTAGCAGGATGTCATCAACATATACTGCCAGAACCACCAGACCAGATGTAGTGCGCCGGATAAAGACGGAGTGATCAGACTGACATCGTTTGAAACCGACACCAGATATAGCAGTACTAAATTTCTCAAACCATGCCCGTGGACTCTGTTTGAGACCATAAATTGCCTTTTTAAGCTTGCAGACCGTATTCTCCCCCTGAGCAACATACCCTGGAGGTTGCTCCATATAAACTTCCTCCTGCAAGTCACCATACAGAAAGGCATTTTTAACATCTAACTGAAACATTGTCCAGTCCAGATTAACAGCCATCGAGAAAAGTAGGCGAATGGAATTGAGACGGGCTACGGGAGAGAATGTCTCAAGATAATCGATCCCATAGGTTTGAGTATATCCCTTAGCAACAAGACGAGCTTTATAACGATCAATTGAACCATCGGTGCGATACTTCAAGGTATAAACCCACCGACAACCAACTACAGTAGCGCCCGTCGGAGAAGATACAAGATCCCAAGTCCTTCTAGAAACAAGTGCATCCATCTCCTCATCCATGGCATGTTTCCAAGCAGGATTTAATACGGCCTCCTCATATGACCTGGGTAGAGATAAAGAGGACAAGGACAAAGCAAACTGACGAGAAGAGGGAGTAAGACGGTCATAAGAAACAAAATCAGATATAGGGTGATTAGTACAAGACCGTTTACCTTTTCGATGAGCAATTGGAATATCTAGATCGGAAGGAGTAGAAGGAGGCAGACCTGCAACGGGAGATGAATGGTCGGCTGGAGCAGAGAGAGGGACAGGAACTTTTGAACGACGACAATACGTCAGTAGAGGTGGTGGTGCAGATGGCATAGTGGAAGCATTTTGTAGTCCTGAAGAAGATTCATCAGCAGAAGGAACTGAAACCGGTAGTGGAACAGCAGTAGGAGCAATAGACGGAAGAGGCACAGATGGACTGACAGTTGGGGGTGAACCAGTCAATGAGAAGTATGGAACCGACTCAAAAAAGGTTACATCGGCAGACACAATATATTTTCTGGTGGATGTATTATAACATCGATACCCTTTTTGAGTACGCGAGTAGCCTATAAAGACACACTTAATAGATCATGGAGATAGTTTATCCAGTCCGGGAGACAAATCCTGAACAAAGCAAGTACAACCAAAAACTCGAGGAACCACAGGAAAAGGCCTTTTGTTAGGATAAAGGCAGGTGAATGGTATTTTACCATTAAGAACAGGAGAGGGCATCCTATTGATCAGGAAACATGCACTGAGGACTGCATCAGACCACAAATACTTTGGTACATTCATATGCACCATCAGGGTTCTAGCAACGTCTAAAATGTGTCTATGCTTCCTTTCAGCAACTCCATTTTGTTGTGAAGTGTGAGAACATGATGTTTGGTGGATAATACCAATATTTGCACAAAAACGAGAGAGGTCATGTTTCATGTATTCCAAAGCATTATCAGTACGAAGGATACGAATAGAGGTGGAAAATTGGTTTTTGATTTCTTTATAAAATATTTCGAAAATGGTGGAAACCTCAGATCTCTCTTTTAAAAGATAAAGCCAAGTCATGCGAGAGAAGTCATCAATAAAGACAAGAAAATATCTGTAACCGTTTACGGAAGGTACACGACATGGACCCCAAACATCAGAATGGACTAACTCGAATGCAGAACTGCTGCGTTTATCAATACGATTTGGATAAGTAGCACGATGATGCTTTACCCAGTTCACAAGACTCACAACTTAAAGAAGAAATAGAAGATTGGATAGAAATGACAGACTTAAGCTTCGATAACGAGGGATGACCAAGTCGTTGATGCCATAATAAAGGATTATCAGATTTATCTGCAACAAGACCAGTAGCAGGCATATTGTTATCCAAATAGTACATGCCTCCTCTCTCATGCCCCGAACCAATCGTCATTCCAGTTGCTAGGTCCTGAAAAACACAATTAGAAGGAAAAAATGTGACTTTGCAGTTGTTGTGCTTTGTGAATTGACTGATGGAAAGTAAACTAACAGGAAATTTAGGAAGATATAAAACATCAGTAAGAGTAAGCGATGAAGTAGCATGAACTACTCCATCACCAAGAACTGGAGAGTATGTCCCATCAGCGATCCGGACCGATGGAAAATTGTCAGAAA